TAAGATCATCAGAGGTAAAGCACAGGTTGAACAACTGGGACATAAAATTAGAAAGGTCAGACTGAGGACATGTTCAGAGAAGGGGTATATTGGTATTAGTATGTTGGAGACACAACTGCCAGGAAAAAAAGGAAGCCCAAAGAGGATWTATGTGGTTGCAGTTAGAGAGGACATGAAAGTAGATGGAWKGAAGACAGAGGATGCAGAGGACAGAGTGGGATGAGGAGGATAGCTTGCTGTGGCAACCCTGAACAGCAAACAGCCAAAAAAACAAACAAACATGCAAGTATTTTAGTAGTGCATATGAGAACATTTCACTAATGTATAGTAAAGCATTTCACTGGTTTGAGAAACCTTTAGTAATGCAAATGAGAGCATGTCAGTAATGTCTATAGGAGGATTTCACTGGTGTACGCAAGCGCAAAATTTTCCGTAGCCCCGTGTATTAACTCATAAGTGCTCACATGAACGCATTTCAGCAATGTGTGCACAGTACAGTATATGTGGGAGCATTTGCCTTTAGTGGTGTGCATACAAGCAAGTTCAAAATAAAGTTCTTAACGKCCCCCAGTACTTTTGGTCCTTTTCATAGCTTACTTAGTCATAATCTTTGCAGCCCGGCCTTCAAAATAATCCTACCTTAATTCTCTTGCCGTTGAGTGTGCATGAAAAGCTTGTCAATTTGCAACGTTGGGCTTGAGCCGCGCTGAGTCTGCTGCTGAATTTGCATATGTTAGCAATTTTTGTTATCTTGAGAGTCGAGAAGCTGTTTCCCCTGACAGTTATGATTTTACTCAGGTTCCTCTGTGTGTCCCTTTGTGTGGGCCTTTGGTTCTCAAAAATTGGAAGTTAAATGTTGAACCACTCACCAACAAAGACAAGTTTACGAGGAAAGCTTTACAAACAATGGGCCTCATGCAAGAACATGTTGGTATTCTTATCCTAAATTTCTCTTACTTTTGTTCGTACAAAGTGTTCGTACGAACATGTCACGTCAGATTCAACAAACWCTTCTATCTTCAGGAAAAGTTTGTAAATGAGCTGCATAAATTCCACCTGTTCGTATCCAGCTGCTCGTGCACGCGAGAGGAGATTARCATAATTACCACCCCAAAAACACCATATAAGGCTATGTTTCCTGCCTCAGAAACAAGGAAGTGTCCATTCATGAAAATGACAGCGAAAACTAAAAAGAAAAACTTTACGAGTTCAGAGATTGAAGTCCGTCTGTCAGAGATCCAGAAAAGAAAATCTGTCATTTTTAGCAGGTCAGCTGTGGAACAAAAGGATCTGCTAAAAGTATAAACAACTGTGTTAAATCATTTTCACTTATTCTGAAGCCACACCGTCGCGCAATTTTGTTTGTATCTGAAAAAAATCTTAGAATACGAAAACATTGGTGAATGCCACAAATTCTCCTAAATCACTCGTACGCACAACTTAAAACAAATCTGTGCGTACGAACGGTTCTTGCATGAGGCCCAATGAGATTGGCATAGTAATGTTCTAAAATGCACCTACATACAGTATATAGGCTTTATCACAAGAGAWGTTTTAAATTACTTTAGCATTTTTACAAATTACAAACCAACTCAGAGACATGTTCAGGAGATTATCTGTTTTAAGAACTGGATGTTCCACAAACCATGACCAGACATCTGCTCAGATTCTGCTGYAAGTCTCCTCTGTCTGCTGTTTGGCTTGGAGTGCTAATTTATTGAAAAAAGGCAGCCAGATTATTATTTCGGCCTAGTACACATATGTTCAATCTTGATGAAAATCTAATTGAATTGTTATCAAGCTAAATATTTAATTTACATGTTTTTTTTATTTATTACTAGATTAACCATTTTAAATATGCACCATTTTCTTTCCTCTCCTTATATTTATTGCTTAAATTAATACAAAGATTACATTCTTGTTTACATTGAGCTATAAACTAGCCTTAAAATATTAAAAGGCTGGCTCTTAATGAAAAGAGAAAGCTGTCACATACTGTACATTCATTCGATATTTGTCAGGATTTGTTCTTCTATTAATAAGTCAAAGAAGCTTTGCTTCGTATTTGTGCAATGAAAAAAATAATTAGCCTAAAATGGAACAATTAGTTTGGGGTTGTAGCAAAATTCTGCAATTTAAACATTCTCTAAAGAGTATAGTAATGTCTAAAATGTAAATAAAACCACGTAGTGTTAATAATTAATTGAATTATTAAGATGTTGCTTAGGAATAAAGATATGTTAGGTATAATTCAATTAAATCAAGTCATTATTGAGTAAAATGTATTGATCTGCAGTTTTMCACACATAAAAGCGTGATTTATGAACCACTGAACTCATATATGCTGTATGTATTCATTAATTTTTTCTCGAATCCTTAGTTTCATAAAACAAAACCCTCATTAAATATTTTGGGTTGACTGATTTGTCATCCTAATGATCCCATTACTCTGCAGACTATTAACAATCATACGTTGGTTCCATTGTGAAGGAGATAAATGACTTTATTATGTGAAGCAWTGTAAACTCAGCACTTAAGTTAACTTTAGATGGTGACACTTTTGCTGCTGGAATACGTTAATTTTGGAGTGTTACTGTGCTTCAACCTGTACCCCTTTTTCAGGAAAATGTCACGATTAAAGGGTCATGTCCATGAATATTTKCACACACATGTGGAATTGTTAATTGGTGTTTAARTAAGACACRTTAATTATAATTTAATGCAACCTTTGGGGACCTGACGCCTGAGTCACAAAGTGACTCTGACAGGGAGGCTTATTTTGAGGTGGTGCGTCATTTTATTAATCTAATATAAAAATGGCGCTACATGAAAACATGAATATTTTAACCTCGGCAATTATCATGACGCTCCAAATTTCAGACAAATGCAGTGAAGTGGAGAACAATTAAAACACTTGATCCCTGTAAATTTTTACTTTGAATTTGAAAAATTATTTTGCATAAGTCAAAATGACAGGTGTTGAACTAGAATATAAAGTGATGGGTTCAACAGCTGTGGGGTACATGTTAGTAGGCTAAGTATCTTGGYGTAGGTGTGGGAATTTTATTTGAGGTCCTATTTTATTTATTAATAAATACATCATTAGTGAATATAAGACAAAACACCAAAACTGTTCATTGTTCTTGCTTCCGTTCGTATAGATAAAAATGGAACACATTATGATAAAAAAAGACTAAAATGTAACTTGAATAAATTCCTGCCAGCTGATTTATGGCATTATTATATTCTCTAATTAAAATCTGCTCAACRTTAGAGAGCTTAGACGGAATGAATCCTATTTATTACCAAGGTTTTATCAGGTTCTTTCGTATTTTCTGTTGTTGCGGTGATGGAGAGCGTTAGCCAGTGTGCATGTCAACAGCCCCCTGAAAGCTCTTCATTACAATTAGCATGCAGCAGTAAAGTTTTATTAATGGCTCTTACACCTACCTGCTGTATTTGCGGTTTTGTAGTTGTAGCACCAATAATTTATGACCAAGTTTTTATGGGTACAGATGGTGAACTATGCCAAATGCTGAGGGGGTAAATTATGCCCTAATATTTTCTGCTACTCACTGCTTTGGGATGACGAATGATTTTTTTTTTTTGTGTGTTTTCAGCTGCAACTCTGGTCAGAAACTTTATCTGTAATCCTGTACCCCATTTATACTACTCTGCATAGTTTTTAAAAAAAAAATGCTTTTCTTGCACCTWCCATTTCCACCAAAACCAATTATTTGGTAAGAGACAGATTATTTTAAAATACACTCTCCAAAAAGGAAATGTTTTCTTAAAACCATAAATTTGAWATTTATACATAGACTGCGCAAAAAGCAGATTTGATGACTCCGAATCCTGTTTCAAACAGTTTGCGCCTTTGGAAATAAAACAAACAGCAGAGCCGTTTTTGGCCAGTTTTTACTATTTTACCTTTTTTTTTCTCTGTCGCACTTTATCCCAATCTTGTCACCATTAAACCTTGATCATGTGCTAAAATGGTTAAAATTTGAAAGAAATTTGAAAAGGGGATTCAGTTTAGTGGTGTCCTGAAACGTATTCTGGTACAAATACCAGCATTTTTACAGTTACTCGTACAAAGTTCCCCAATACTCAGAACCAATGCCGATGCCAGTATTGATACTTGGATGCTGGTATTGATGCTCAATGARTGTTACAGTTTACATTTCAGATGAAAAGTTTGTCAGTTCCACGTTTAAAGAAATCTTATTTATTTTTTTATTTATTTTAAAGTGTTTCAACAGTATGTGTACATCATGCTGTATATTTGATTTGATCCAATCAGAGGGGCTGTAGGCCTAAAAGGAAGGAGAGACACATTTTTTTCTAAATAAAGGAAATGTATTATTCATCTCATAGTGTAACATTTAGGTTTTAATTTAGTAAGTATTCTGTAATGGTACTTGATATTGTCGAATATCTAATCTGAAGTACTCATACTAGGTTTGAGGAAAAACTAGTATTGACTCCCAATTCAATTAATGTGGAAGAACCTTTAACCAAGTTACAATGCTCTTTCTCTAGGTTTTGGCAAGTCATCAATCGACATTGAAAATATGTGTTTCATTGTTTGTGTTACATTGTTTATAATGATGTATTTTTCTTTCACTTATTAGACAATTAAAAAAATCTACTTTATAAATATCCAGAGTACAGCAGAGCAGGCCCCAGTCACTAAGTTATTGGTGAGATTGTGAGGTCAGAAAACATAATAAATCAAAAGTTAGCTTGCCATTTCAGCTTACTTTGTGAGGCAGGCCTCATATGTGTGTATATATAATGATTTGTTTTCATGTTTCTTTTAAAGTTTGGTCTTTTGTAAGCTGTATGTCTGTTCAGTGTGTGTGTGCACGTGAGTCATTTTACTGTACATGTATGAAACTGGAGTTAATTTACTTGTGATTATTGTTTGTGTAGGTGTCTGTCCTTGGGTAACTGTGTGATGTTAACGTCTCTGCTCTGGCCCGTCTCCTTCCCTCCAGGACAAGACGAGCGCTCTAAGCCTCAGCAACGTGGCCGGAGTTTTCTACATCCTGATTGGAGGCTTGGGCCTGGCCATGCTGGTGGCACTGGTGGAGTTCTGCTACAAGTCCAGGACCGAGTCGCGCCGAATGAAGGTGTCCACCGCGCGAGCTGCTGCAGCCACAGCCGCTCAGGCCTTTCACTGCTCAGCCTTAGACAGTGGTGCTAGCACCCCCTACACAGAGCTGCAGAGCTACGGCCTGTACGCCAACAACACTGTTAAGATATAAGGGCAGAGCACAGCCACGGGGTAGGGAACGCTGTGATCAAATGATGATGATGATGATGCGTCTGCCTCCACCCTGTCCTGCCCATCTAACCGTGACCACAGTAGGGCCGCTCACGGCTTCCACCGCACAGTGCTGTTCTGTCCCTCTCTCTGCCTCCGCTGCTCCCTTCGCTGATCTGCTGCAGTGTTTTTGTATCACTTGATTCCTAAATTGCTCTTATGCCCATTTTTTTTTATCTGTTAAGAAATGTTTTTATTGTATCTGTTAAAATTACAGCATAGTAGTAGATGGGCTATTCCATGTCAGTTGAATATGTTTGATTTTTTTACTTTGTTGGGGTTGAGGTGAATCCCTATAACCTGTGATATTTATTTTATTAAACTGTGATTGATTTTTTTATATTTAATAGTATTATAATAAAACATCACAGTTTTTAACATCACTAAATCATCATATAGACCCATATTTCCCATACTTAATTTCCCTCTGGGATCAATAAAGAATTTTTGAATTTGAATTGAATCGAATTGAATTGAATATTTGTTAAAATTGGACCTTCGCATTGCAGTGCCTCCTCTTAGAAATTATTATTTTGCCTATAGAAACAAATGCATTTCTTAAAGACTTGCAATTATTGTTTAGTAAAGCTGGAAATATATTGTAAAATTTGTCATTTTTACAAAATTTATTTYTTAGACTGTATAATTACACAAAATTCCTTTTTTCTTTACTCATTTAAGGGGTGGATGGGACTGATACCAAATTTTGCAGTGATTTCAATTTTGATATTAGCCAATTTCTTCTGAACTGCTTCACTTTCAACCTGGTACAGTGTATTTAAATTGGCAAACAAATACAATGAGAAAAAGATATGTAAAGTTGGATAAATTATTTGGCAACTTTCTCCTGTGACTTTGACTTGTGGCTCATTTTATGTGCCTGCATGTCATATTCTTGATGAGAGTCCTTTAGATCAAATATATGATTGTACAAAAAAGGAAATACTGTCTATATTTCTAACATCTGTACGGTCATTTAGGGCAGTCGAGAGCTGACGCCTCTATCCAGCAGCCACTGGGAGGCGTACACCCTAAGCATGTCACCAGGTTSTCACAGGACCACATAGAGGTGCTAGTGCCAGTTTAAAATCTCCATTTAAACTAGCACGGATGCTTTTGGTCTCTGAGCAGAAACGGGTGTACTTTAGAGGAAACCCATACAGATGCACAAACTTTATAGAGAATATACCCAGCTGGGAGTCAGACAAATTTAACCCAAATTTGTTTTAGAGGCTGCAAGGTGGAGCAGGTGCTTAGAACGGTTGCCTCACAGTAAAAACAACTGACAAATGACTGGGGCCTTTCTGCAAGGAGTTTGCATGTTTTACCCAGGTTTTCTCCACGTACTCCATCCTGTTATTGTCCAAAGGCATGCCCATTAGGTTAATTAGTGATTCTAAAGCAGTGGTTCCCAAACTTTTTATCTTCTGACCCATAAAATATCCATGGCAAAACTTGTCACCCCAAATATTACTGGTCTGAGTACACGAACTTCGTTAATAACCCTAAAAACACAGGCTTTTTGACAATCTAAACAGCTTGTACACAAATATAAATACTTATTTATACTTTTTTGTGTTTTTGTAATAGTTATAGGGAAAACATTACATCAGCAATTATTTTATTCCCCTTTAAATTGATTTCTGGAGATTATCCAAGGTGCTTCATGACCCATWWTTGGGTCCCAAGCCCAACTTTGGGAACCAAAGTGCAGTGGTTCCCAAACTTTTCAGCTTTTGACCCACAAAATAACAGTAGCAGAGACCTGTGCCCCCAACTGTTTTTGGATGATAAACATTTGTATCAGGTCAACTAAACATGGGCATAGTAACAATATTTTTATACTACATTTATCAATTTTAAACATACTAACCTCACTCCTTTGTAACAACTAAGGCAAAAATTTAATTAATTCAGGAAATCTTTTCAGGACCCCACCTTGATGTTTCGGGACCCCACTTTGGGTCCTGACCCCAACTTTGGGAAACACTGTTCTAAAGTATGTGTGTGTGTGTGTGTGTGAATGTTTGTTGTCTTTATGTGACCCTGTGATGGACTGGTTACTTGTCCAAATGTACCCTGGATCTCACTAGTTGGCCACTGGAGATAGTCACCAGCTTCTTGTGGTTATGCACTAGATCAGGGCTATTCAACTAAACTGCTCCGGGGGCCACAGTTACTGCAGGTCAACAGCTCAGGGGCCGAACATCCAGCAATAAAGTTGTTATATAAATAAACCAAGTATTACAAAGATCTGTTACATTTGAAATAGTTTATTTTGCTGTATGTAATCATGAATATAACATACAGAACCCTATAAAAGTAGTGATAATTAAAGAATATCAAAATCAAAAATAACACATTATGCCTCCTTTGACACAAATACTATTTTTGACATCTCTGAATTGCCAAATTTTAAACCAATTTTAATTTCACTTTCATAGTTTTTATCTTCAACTGCTTGTAATTTTAACTGTCTTGAGTGATCATAGAAATGGTTTCTGCTTCTAGCTGAGATTCTGACGTTTCTGTAGATGCCAAACACGTCTAACTAAAAGAACTTAGAATAATTCAAGTAGAAAACCAGGGGTTTGGGCTTAAGAGATGAATGACCCAATTGGCGGGCCGAACTTTGGTCAATCGGGGCCGCCAGTTGAATAGCCCTGCACTAGATCAAACATGGATGGATGGATGAACAGAGATTTCAAACTTACCTGACRTAATTATTAGTCAATACTAATAATTTTAAAGTGTGAGGCACTGTTTTGCTAACAGGACATGCTATGATCCATATGACATAGTGTACAGTGTGTAGTGTCCTTAAGTAAAGCTAATGTTACTGTAATGTGCAAAAGTCTTTAATCGTTTTGATTTCTCTATATTTTGCATAAATAAAGTCCAACTTACTTAAAGTCTGGCTTCCCTGAATTACAATACATACAAATGGAAGTTAGCTCAAGACATTTGCACCTTATTGTACATTTGCATGTTTTTTTTTTCTGTATCGCAGTATGCAATTTGAGTCTCATTTTCCGCATCGTATGGCTAAGTAGGCTCTATTTTTTATTTCAGCTCGCAAAGTGTTCCTAGCAGGGCACTTGTCAAATCCCATTACCAAACTCATTACAATAATCATTTGCACTCTTTTCAGAAATTTCACTTTCAGCACAGGTATGAAGGCAATTTGAATCACAGTGGTACATCTATCTACTTCTGTCGCTSTGAGCAGTTCTGTCCCCTCGCTCCTTCTTCTCTTTTTGCTGACTGTCACGCAAAATGCAGGGCCCATTGTGGTGAACATCGTTTCTATGTATGCCATGAGGTAGTCGTGGTGCGGCTCGCATGTCTTCCATCACTGCTTTAGCGTTAAACAGAATAACTCAACCCTCTGTGTTTTTAAAGATGTGAAATTGAGAACTTGTTGCTTCTTTTTTTCCCCCACTGGAAGGTGTGAGTTTTCTCTTCCAATTTTTGTTAAAATTGTAGCTTTTAGACATCTGCTTCGAGGTTCAATTTAAAACGAACACACTTTGCTTTATTCATCCAACATCAAAGCCCCTCAGGACACACTTATATACTCTTCATGTAAACAGACAAAAAAAAACCTTGGCAGAGTTGAGACGAGGAGGAGACTTCTACATGAAATTCTTAGATTATAATCAGCCCACAAAAAGGCACCTGATTAGTATGCTGATTAGACTGGTGAGGTACCTTTTAGTCCAGCAGTGCCTTTGTGCTGTTTTGCCTTGAAGGAAACAACAACACCATTCCAATTAGAGTTGTTGTAATCCTCCAATCCCCATGCAGCACTTGTCGCTCAAGATCATACTTGCTTTGCCCAATTTCATCAGGTACAGAATGGGGGAAGTGGACAAAGACGCACACGTCAACATGCACATGCGCACACACATTCATCACGCATCATTAGGTTACCTTTTCAGCCTTGTGGCTTTCATTATGCTAGGCCGGAGAATGAAGCTATTAAACCAATGAGCATAGCCTCCGCTCTCCTCTTACTGCCCACACTTTGCTCTGCACCTCCCTTTTTAAATTAGGCCATCTGAAGCACGCCTGTATCACCTGCAAATATTTCTGTGGACCAGATCTTTACCCTTGCAGAGTTGCTGAGGGGGGTCATTGGACATTGATTGTCCAGKCCAAGTGTTTAGTGAGCCTGGAGAAAGCTTGTGACCATATCTCCTGAGTTATTTTGTGAAAGGGCGCTGCTAGAATAAAGCGTGCAAGAGTTCTTTTTTCTAGGCGATGCAGTCCCTGTATAACCAAAGCTAAAGTTGTGGCTTTACTCTCAGCCAAAAGTTGGTCTTGTTCCCAGTTTTGGTTGTACTGCACCAGGGCTGCCCCTGTTTGTGGTGAGCAGAATCTTGAGGCACAGTTGTGGAGAGGAGGGTGTCTGGTTTGGAAACTTTAGAGTTCCTTCTCTTCTCTTTGCAGAAGACGAGGTTCTGTTGGCGGCTTCAAATCATGACTTTTAGTGTACCTTGAAGCATAGTCAAGTGTAAATCACCAGGAGTGGGAGTCAAATCTTCCAAGTCTGAGGATATAATTCTCAACTGAAAAAACRGAACCCTTCCTTTTTGTTGTGGCAGAATCTCTACCTCAAAATCGACCAAGAGATCAGGGCATTCCAACCCTGCTTATGGTCATGTATAAATCGTAACTAAAGGGACAAGATTCCAGATACAAGGAGATGAAATGAAATCCTTCATGCAATGGCTAGGCTCAGTTTTATAGATAAAGTGAGGAACATCTAAGGGGAGCTCATAGTAGAGCCTCTGTTCTTCTGATACAAAAATCAGCTGAGGTGGTTTGGACGCCTATTAAGGATGCCTCTTGAACATCTACCCAGGTTTTCTGGACACTGGGAGAAAGTCCTAATGCAGACCCAAAACTCACAGAATGAACTGAAAATCCTTCCTGTCCTGGGAACACCTTTGGGTCTCCCAGTAGGAGCTGGAATATGTTGTTGAAAGGGATGTATGGGTTTTCCTTCTCAACCTTTTAGCTATGTGACCTGACAGTGGACAAGCAGAATGAAATGGATGAACTGAAATAAAGCCTGAATCCTATAAACACAAAGAAAAGTAACATTTTATGACTTAGAACAGTCATTTTGCTTCCCAAATTACAGTGGTTTGCAAAAGTATTCATACCCCTTGAACTTTTCCATATTTTGTCACATTACAACCACAAACATAAATATATATTCACTGGAATTTAATGTGAAAGACCAACACAAAGTGGTATACAATTGTGAAGTGGAAGCAAAATTTTACATGAATCAAAACATTTTTTACAAATAAAAAACTGAAAAGTGCGATGTGCAAAATTATTCAGCCCCCCTGAGTCAATACTTTGTGGAGCCACCTTTTGCTGCAATTACAGCTGCAAGTCTTTTAGGGTATGTCTCCACCAGCTTTGCACATCTAGTGACTGCAATTCTTGCCCATTCCTCCTTGCAAAACAGCTCAAGCTCAGTCAGATTGGATGGAGAGCGTTTGTGAACAGCAGTTTTGAGATCTTGCCACAAATTCTCAATTGGGTTTAGGTCTGGACTTTGACTGGGCCATTCTAACACATGAATATTCTTTTTTTTAAACCACTCCATTGTAGCTTTGGCTTTATGTTTAGGGTCGTTGTCCTGCTGGAAGGTGAACCTCCGCCCCAGTCTCAAATCTTTTGCTGACTCCAACAGGTTTTCTTCCAAGATTGCCCTGTATTTGGCTCCATCCATCTTCCCATCAACTTTGACCAACTTCCCGGTCCCTGCTGAAGAGAAGCACCCCCAGAGCATGATGCTGCCACCACCATATTTGACAGTGGGGATGGTGTTTTCAGAGTGATGTGCAGTGTTCTTTCTCCGCCACACATAGCGTTTTGCATTGTGGCCAAAAAGTTCAATTTTGGTCTCGTCTGACCAAAGCACCTTCTTCCACATGTTTGCTGTGTCCTCAACATGGCTTCTGGCAAACTGCAAACGGGACTTCTTATGGTTTTCTTTTAACAATGGCTTTCTCCTTGCCACTCTTCCATAAAGACCACATTTGTGTAGTGCACGACTAATTGTTGTCCTGTGGACAGTTTCCCCCACCTGAGCTGTGGCTCTCTGCATTTCATCCAGAGTCACCATGGGCCTCTTTGCTGCCTCTCTGATCAGTGATCTCCTTGTTCGGCCTGTAAGTTTAGGTGGACGGCCTTGTCTTGGCAGGTTTACTGTGGTGCCATACTCTTTCCATTTCCGGATGATGGATTGAACAGTGCTCCGTGAGATGTTCAAAGCTTGGGAAATCTTTTTATAACCTAAGCCTGCTTTAAACTTCTCCAAAACCATATTCCTAACCTGTCTGGTGTGTTCTTTGGACTTCATGATGCTGTTTGCTCCCCAATATTCTCTTAACCAACATCTGAGGCCGTCACGGAGCAGCTGTATTTGTACTGAGATTAGATTACACACAGGTGGACCCTTTTGAGTCATTAGCAGTCATCAGGCAACTTCTGAATGCAATTGGTTGCACTCAGGGAAAAGGGGGCTGAATACTTTTGCACGTCGCACTTTTCAGTTTTTTATTTGTAAAAAATGTTTTGATTCATGTAAAATTTTGCTTCCACTTCACAATTGTATACCACTTTGTGTTGGTCTTTCACATTAAATTCCAGTGAAATATATTTATGTTTGTGGTTGTAATGTGACAAAATATGGAAAAGTTCAAGGGGTATGAATACTTTTGCAAACCACTGTATGTCGCATTGAAGCACCACATTCTGACATTCACATAAGCAGGCTCTAATGTGAAAGCACTGATGTACTAAAGACCAAACAGCACACTGTATAACATTCCACTCTTATCTAATTTACTGTACTTTATGTGTTGTTAGCTTTAATGGCTGCATTAGCTTTCTGTGTTGAAGTGATAATGCATCAGTTAACCGACTCAAATCAGGTGTACAGGCTAACTGGCACCTGCTTTTTCTTGCAGCAATCCATCAACGACGCCATGCGTTGCTCCACCTTGACCAGGATGAGTGGCAATGGAAGCGGAGGAGAGAACGGACGAATCCTCACCCATGACTTCCCCAAAACAGTTCAGACGCTGCCCTGTATGAGCCACACTGCCAGCATGGGACTGGGTGCCTCTGGCATGTGACCACCATCAGACTGTGCTGGCAGCGACAGACTGGCAGGGTGGGGCAAAGGAGGAGCACAAGACTGTTAACCTCATAAAGTCATGGCTGTCTGGTTTGACCAATCTGCTCTCCTGGCTGTCAAGGTGCCCAACTACAAAATTTACTGCCAAAATGCACTATTGAACCGCTCCTGACATACAAAGACTCCATTTTTTTCTAAAACAAATGGATGTTTAAAAAGAGATTTAGAGGGGATAAAACGAAGAGGGATATGTGCTGCAATAAAGAAGCCGTCAATGCGRTATGATTTTGAGGTTGTTGTTTTTTTACAGTGTTCTTTCATGTAAAAAAGAAAACTTTATTCTTCAGTGTAACAACTGCGCTGTGCCATTTTGATGGAGCTGTTGACTTTCGTCTGCGTCTGCAATACTCTCACTACAACTGCTGACATCGTGCCACCTACACATGCTTTCTGACTGGGGACGTGTCCTCGCAAATGAGGAAGACAAACACTTGTGGCTGCTTCGATGATTTCTTTTTGGAACATTTCCCACCGCCTTTTTTTTCGTTGACTCACCCTTTTACAAACACATTCCATTTTTTGACGTGCTCTGTTTGGCAGACCCCGTTTTTCTTTTTTTTTTTTTATAAAGTTTTAAAGTGCTGCGATAGAGCAGAGCCTGGTACGGAAGAGTTTGATCGATCGTCAACTGAAGGTTGTTGAAAACAGAAGCTSTCCTGGCCACAACAAAACACACATTGCTGCTACGCTTGGTTTAACACGTCATGCCTTGTCTGGTGCCACAAACACACGCAGGTATACACTGTACCTCTGTTGCTTCTGAGACATTGTTCACTCAGCAGGTTTTCTGATTAGAGAAAAAGTCAATGGGCATATTTAGAAATGTCCATKTTGATCTGTATGGGGGAACAAATGAAGGGAACACTTTAGTTTTTGGCTAGCACTGAGGGACCTTACACTGTACTCCATTGCTAATGAAATTCTGAGTAAATCCAAAACTTGTGAGTCTTATCCAAGAGCAGAGATTAAATTTTATCTGRAGAAAATCTTCCTTATATTTTTCCTTACTGTGGCTGTGTCAKTTCCCACACTCCTGTGACGTGTTGTCGTAGATGTTATTGAGGCCCTGTGCATTGTGCATGGGCTATAAAAAGAAGGTAGGCCTCATTTTATTAGTGCTTGCTGATGGTGGAAAAGAGACTGGGTCTGATGCAGTTGGTGTGACTGACAGATTCACCGCTTCTATTTGTCTTGTTTGTTGAAGGCTGAGTTTATAGTGATCACTGTGCTTTTCAGGGAGTGCTCTGTTTCATATGTCAAGGAAAGAGAGATCCAAATTAGAGATTCAGGTGAGATGAGTGCAGGGGAGTATAGAGTTGGTGGGCTAGAWTTGTCAAAGTACAGAAGAAAATATTTTAACACAGCTTTTACAGTTTGCATTTCTAATAGATTTTTGTCAGTGAATGATTAACTCATTAAAGAAAACCTGCAAGGATGTATTCAAAGTAACAAAGCCATTGTTGTGTTTTGATTGCAAAAAGTGTCCAATTTGAATTGCAGCCGGGGTCTTTCTATGTGGAGTTTGCATGCCGTCCTTGTGCCTGCCCAGAGACCTTATCCGCAATTCAAACACGTTGAAATTGGGGATAATTGTGACGCTGTTCACTGTGTGCATATTTGTGTTGTGTCACTGTTCACCCTGTAATAGACAAGCAACCGCCTCACACAGTGACAACTTGGGTAGGTTTGCACTTGACAAACAATATTAATAAAAAAAATCAATAATAATACAATTAAAGGTGATCTTTAGATTTTTGGAAGATTTTAAATAATTTCACAAACTCCAGCTGTAAGGGTTTTAATCAAGAAAATACAAAAATTGTAATAATGTAATTTTTTGCGTGACTGCATTTCTCTCAGAGGTTTATTTTGAATTAATAGCAGAAACTGAGTATAGAGTACTGAGCAAAGAACTGCCCTTTTTTCATRTTTTCTCACCAAAGAGTCAGACTTTCTTGAAATCTTTGAAGGGATGTTGATGAGAATTTCTTCAGGCTTTCTGGAGGGCTTTCAAATATGTTTTTTTAGGCCACTCAGTCATAAGAATAATCATTCAGGCTTAAAAAAATGCTATTAAAGACAAGGTTGACAGCCACTGTACTATCTACTTATAAAGATACAAATTGTAAAACTTGTCTGTTTGAGGCATACTGTCTTCTGGTTATTGCTGTCTCGGTCCTGAAAGCATGATCTGTTAAGCCAGTTCATTTGTGCATTATCTTAAAACTACAGCATAAATATGCTATCAATAAGTCCAATAAATAATTTTCTATGGTATTTTATTTTTTTCTGAGTAAATTATTATTCATTAAGGGAATTATATTGTTTGAAAATAGGTCCGTTCATAGCAAGTAATCTGCTTTGTAAATCTATTTTTATTAATATAAGGATGTTTTTTATATATGCTATATTAAAACCTCATACAGGATATAATTTAGCACACTTTTATTATTAAGAATAGAAAAAACTATACTTTTTCCTAAATTGAATGCATTAATAGGTGATTTGTAACTATTTCTTTTAGCGCATGTGCAAATGAACTGACGATACAGACGGTGCTTCCGAGACATATTGGAGAGTGACAATGGCTGTGTCCAAAACGACAGGCCGGGTCCTCCGGAGGACCCAGATTCCCCGGTCGCAGCGGGCCGGGTCCTTGGTAGACCGGGAAGACTGGAAAAAAAGAGGCTGTGAATTTGGACGGTCTAGCCTCCCCTCCTTACCCCGGCGTACGTCATGTCGCCTAGCAACTGTGACGACACTAAACAAGCAAACTTAAATCAAAACTAGAAAATTATCAATATATTAACATTATTAATATCACAAAACTATAAAATTAACTTAAAAGTATCATTTGAAGAACTAATTGACCCGCTGTAGGTTCATGTTTATTTCGCGTTTTTTATGACAAAAAAATAATATTTAAAAACATGTCCATACAAATGATAAAAGTATTAGAATTACAACCGCTAATTTTTTAAAATTTTTATATCACCAATTTTTTTTAAAATGTATTCTTTTCTCTCGCTTCGTCCGCCATTACAAGCATAAAAAAATCTCCGGTCGGGCCACAATGCATTATGGGATATGCTGGGCCGGGAAGGATCCATCAGACCAGTCCTTCGATTTGGGCCAAAGGAAGGACGCATTTGTCGGACGCATCGGAGGAGTCTTCGGTTTTGGACGTCCTTCGTCGCGGCGCTGTGACATATGCGGCCGACAAATTCGACCTTCGGAGGACCCGTCCTGCCGTTTTGGACACAGCCATTGTGTACTCCCACTCTGATAACATGGCCGTGAAGAGCCGCCTGTGTCTCCCTGCTATCTCTTTTGTGCACAAAAACCATGCAACCTCCTTCCACCCGGTATGAGGATGATGCAGTTGGTACAACTGTCCTAGAATCGCATCCMGGCTAGGAACCTTTGCGGGTGGAGTTTGTATATTCTCCCCGTACATGTGTGGGTTTTCTCTGATTCGGTTTCCTTCCACAGACCCAAATCATGTATGTAAGGTTATTGATCTTTTTACAGGYACAAATGTGCATGTGTAAAGTCAGGCAACATGTTGGATGTTGGAATGACTGCAGAGCACAGCTGAAACACACATATGAACACTTTAGACTAAGTGTATTTCAACAAATAAGAAGACATTAATATATCTAGACCACAATGCATTGCAAAATACTGACTTGTGCATGTGCATTAACTGTAAAAAGGTTAATTTGGTAATTAAATTGTCTCATGTGGTAGAATGTTAAAACTTTATCTCTACGTGACCCTGGGATGGACTTGCGACCTGTTAGCATGTGCAGCGCCTCTCACACAGTGACTGCTGAACACAGTGACCCCTGAGACCCGGAAAGATAAACAAAGAAAACGGATGGATGGAAGTTGTAAAACTTGGCATGAATAATTGAAGGATGATGCATTTCTTTGCCCTTGTGTCAAATCTTTGCTGGATTTCCTAAGTTTTCTAGCATTTTTTTAAGCCTGACATCATTTCCCATCTTCCGTTTGTCCACTCTTTTTAAGCACAATATGCTGTCATAKTCAAGTAAAAGAATTGAACAGAAAGCTGATTTTTTTTAAAGGACAAGTTTTGAAGGACTTTYAGACAACCTGAATAACTTTTCTTCAAAAACCCGTTTTAAAGTTTACAAGAAAAAAAAGTGTCTCCTTGGAAGAAAAGTATGACTAGTTTAAAAAAGACTCAGTGGGCCTCATGCAAGAACATGTTTGTATTCTTATCCTAAATTTCTCTTACTTTTGTTCGTACAAAGGGTTCGTACGAACATGACACGTCAGATTCAACAAACTCTTCTATCTTCAGGAAAAGTGCGTAAATGAGCTGCGTAAATTACACCTGTTCTATCCAGCTGCTCGTGCACGCGAGAGGAGATTAGCATAATTACAACCCAAAAACACCATATAAGGCTATGTTTCCTGCCTCAGATATCAGGAAGTGTCCATTCATGAAAATGGCAACGAAAACTAAAAAGAAAAACTTTACGAGTTCAGAGATTGAAGTCCGTCTGTCAGAGATCCAGAAAAGAAAATCTGTCATTTTTAGCAGCTCAGCTGTGGGATAAAAAGAGCTGCTAAAAGTATAAACAACTGTTTTTTAAAATGTTTTCGAAATAAGTCTGGCACTTTGGAGAAAACCCAGGACTCGCTGGAGGGATTGTGTATCCCCTCTGGCCTGGGAACATCTCAGAGTCCCCCAGGACATGGAGGGTGTCGCTGGGGAGAGCGGGGTCTTTCTGCTGCTGCCCCCGCACCCGGCCGGCCGGACAATTTATATTGTCAGTCTAAATTATTACATTTTRAATTATAACTCTAATTCAAGCAGAATAGCCTAATGTCAACATAATCATAGAGTGTGATTTATTTTCAACTCAAAATGTCTTCAAACTAACGATATATAAAGTTATTAGGGAGGAAAATCCATCTAGATAGCAGACTGACTGCTCGTAAAATATACGACAGGTCTGGACCACTCATAAATTTTGTTCATATCTGAAAAAAATCTTAGAATATGAAAACATTGGTGAATGCCACAAATTCTCCTAAATCACTCGTACCCACAACTTAAGAACAAATCTGTGCGTATGAACTGTTTTTGCATGAGGCCCAATAGTTTTTTTTTTACCAGAATAACAAACTTTTTAAAATGTAATTTATTTATTTGTTTATGTATTACCAGTTCTACATTTGATTTGGGTCTTTATTTGAACAGTAAAAAAATTGGTAATCAGGAACTTCAAGGGAGTGGCCATTCATTGAAACAACATTTAGAGTTGAAACAGATGAAGCAGGTAAAGGAAAAACTGAGTTTGTCAAATTGTTGTCATTTACATCAACAAATGTTCTGGAATTCACTGATCGTTCATCGATCAAATTAAAAGTGTGAACAGTGGGTAATTTTACTTTAAGTCAAGTAGAAAGTGATTGCTTAGAGTTGGATTTTTATTGCTGCTGCGTACTGGGAGTGAGCCTTAGCTGATGAACTGCACATATAAACTGACCTCTCATTTCAAAGCAAAGGCCAAGCGCCTGAACAAAGGCAGCACTCATCTCCTACTTCCACAACGTGTGTAGTATTTGTGTTCCTGAGTTTCTACTTTAAGTAAAAAGAGAGAGGAGAAAAAAATACACGGTACCAAATTCAATGTGATATTTTTACTAACTCATATGAACACGGTAAGAGACGGTCAGAGTTTACTGAAATCATACATATCCCATTTATGTATATAATAAAAAAGGATTTTTATCTTCACAATTTTTTTCTCTTACAAATGCATCAGTGCACCGGTTTGAGGTTTTCTGCTGTGTGAGTACCTTTTTTTCCTCTTTCATTCGTGTCTTTTTTTTTTTGAGATAATGTTTTGTTATTCCACAGCAGAGCGCTCTGAAAAAAAGAGGCTTTACCTTGTTACATATGTTTTATAAAACATTAAAAGATTTCTAGAAAAAAAAGAAATGAACAAATAAAAAAATGGACGCCGTGTTTGTACTGTAAAGGAAAGTTGTAATACTAGAAAAATGGCACTTTGAAGAGTATACAGCTAAAAGAAAAAAAAACTTTACTCTGATGTTGAATAATCCATAGATGCTTATGATGTTTAAAACCAGTTTTCAGTTTGTTTTATTTTGAAATGTCAGTTTTTTTAAATCCCTTCCTAATGGTATCTTTAAGTGCTCAAAAATTTAAAACAATGTGAAAATATTTTTGTTGTTTTTCTTTACAGTGTTTTATCACCTGAGTCTAATCATGGTTTGTTCAGCAGAAATAGCTTTTTTTTTTGCCCTTTTTTATTAGGTGGGTTGGGGGGGGTGTCATTAAGTTAAAACAGTGGTGAATAAACTGGTACAAAGTTTGAAATATATATACTGTATGTATAAGAGAATAGCACTATTATGAGTTTGATTTTGAGAAATAAAATGTTTTTCTAACCAAAGTGTCCTGGAACAACGTCCTCATGCTTTTGTAACTGAATAAAAGAATAAACAGATTTTTTTGGTTGATGTTTTATTTCCTCCTAGTCACAAATATCAAATCTTGGAAAGAAAAGAAAATGAATAATCAATTTGAAAATTACAGGGGAAAAAAGAGAAGGGAAATATTTTTGTTTATTTTTCGAAAATGGGTTTCAGAGTGGAAAAATTCGAGATACGTAAAAGGTATTCAACCGAGTTCCTCTAGGTACACTTTGGGGGACGCTCTGTGAGCATGGGGTTGTGGATCCATTGTTACCATTCAGTTGTTAAAGCAGCAGTGTAAGACTTTGGTTCGTATTGCTGGCAGTTAGTTGGACCCCATCAGGGTAGAGGTGGACATCACCAGGGCTATCATCAATTTTATTCATAACTTTTACAGTTGGTTGGTGCAGCCAGGGTGCAGAGGGAGTCCAGTTCGGCAGCCTCAGGATTCCATCTGAGCTGTTTGCAGATGATGTGGTCCTGTTAGCATCATCGTGTCGTGATCTCCAGCTCTCACTGGAGAGGTTCGCAGCCAAGTGTGAAGCAGCCGGGATGAGGATCAGCACCTCCAGATCTGAGTCCATGGTCCTCAATCAGAAAAAGATAGATTAAGGTGAAATATACTGCCTCAATTAGAGGAATTTAAGTATTTTAACGAGAGAGGAAAGAATGGAGCGTATCTACAGTTGGATTGGTGTTGCTTCTGCAGTATTGTGGCTGTTGTGGTGAAGAGGGTTTATCCATCAGTCTATGTTCCTACCCTCACCTGTGGCCACAGACTTTGGGTAGTGACCGAAGGAACAAGATTGCAGATAAAAATGGTGGAAATGAGTTTTCTCTGCAGGTTAGCTGATCTCTCCATTATTAAACATATGTTTATGGCTTCAGCCTGTGCAGAACGCTGTACAGGCAGCGAGGTTATTAACAAAGACCCACAGGAGAGCCCACATTACACCTGKTTTAGCCTCTCTGCACTGGCTCCCTGTGACTTTGAGTCATTTTAAAATTTTAGTTTTAACTTTCAAAGCACTTCATGGTCAG